CTGTATTAACGATGACATCCCAAACGTTTTGAAATGAATATAATACGTTTCTTCGAAAATGTTTTAATAACGTATTTATCGTATTTTTCTGGGAACAAATTCCGCAACATTTTTATTAAAAGAAGTACTCTGATTTTTATAAAGCATAAACAAAATCGGTCTTTTCTGGCCGTGAAAATGGGGATGTCACATGTACCGACCAGAGCAGATGTCACACCCCGAAAATCAAAGGCGGAAACATTTCTGGGGTGGACTACCACGTTGTGTATCAAATCCAATGTACATAGTAATCACAGTAATCAACCATTACATTACATATATATATATATATATATATATATATATATATATATATATATATATATATATATATATATATATATATATATGAAAGTTTACATTTGTTTCAAAAGTAAAGTTATACAAATTATACATATGCATCATATTAACAAAAGTTGAGACGAGTCTTCCACACACTCCGTCTTCATCAAAAGAGATCTTCGGGTACCTGTCTAACTTGGACCTGAGAATACAAGCGGTTTGAAAATCAGCATAAAGCTGGTGAGTTCATAGCGGTTTTGTTTTATGAAAATGTATCGGTTTCCTTTAATTTCCGAAAAGATTTGTTATCCAAGAAAATCCCATATTTTCTTATGTGAAGTTGGTTTAGTTATCATTTGTTACCAATTCGATTACGAGTTGTGTTTTACCCCAGGAAAATCCCATATTTTCCTAATTGAAAGATCAGTTGTATATCACAAAGTATAGTTTAACACACAAAACTATATAATGAAAATCTTGGGATCACTATCCCGAAAGAGATATAAGATAGTTTGACACATATGAAAGTACATATTTAAGATCATGGGACTACCATCCCGGACTAGACACGAGATAGTTTGATATAAATGGAAATATAGATTGAAAACCATGGGATCACTATCCCGGACAAGATATAGACTTAGACCATGGGATTATCATCCCGTACTTAATATAGATTGAATTCATGGGATTACTATCCCGTAATAGATATAGGTACAAAACCATGGGATGACTATCCCGTATAAGATATAGTTAAAGACCATGGGGAAAGACATCCCGTACAAGTCGTAGTTATAAAACCATGGGATCACTATCCCGGACTATATACAAAATAGTTTGATAATACCATGGGATCACTATCCCGAAAGATATATAGAATCTAAAACCCAAACTGTGAATAAACTAAGATTAATACATGTTGTGAGTCGGGTAACCATACTAATACGACAACGATACCTCCTTGACGTTTGTCAGACGTCGAAACGATATCCAGGAATTTGTCACCCCAGGCATGCCCGCCTAACTGTAGCTAGCAGTTAAGGTGTGGGATTGTCAGTCCCGAATAGATCTATTCACAAATTCCGCGCTCTCCCTCCAGGAGACTCTGGTTACACTTCCGGGGAGGATTTACTGATCATCCATAAAGGGTAGTGACTATCTCACAAACTAGTACTAAACTATTCACAGAGTTTCCGTACGATCTCGACAAACAGAAGCTTATGAAACATAATATAATGAATATAGATACATACAATGAAAATATCTGACAATACATTCAAATGATACGGAGATAAACTAAATCAGACATAGTTTATCTAATAACTTTATATAGACATCAGCATATGATAGAAAGAACAGTAAAGACCCCCAAATTATTCCCATAATAATTTGATTAGTTTGATTGTTTCCTTAACTAAAATTCATTTAGTTGTAATTGATAAGTCATTCCTTATGCTCAACATAATACATAAGGAGTAAAAGAGTTTATAAGATTGTCAGATATACTTTGAAATATATCAATGTTATGAATTGAAAACAATTATAGTTTGCTTGTATTCCCCCCTGAAAACATTGAAAACAGTGAAAAAGTCGTAGGGGTATGAACTCACCGGACGAGATATGTGACGATTTGGATGCTAAGAGTTGATCCGGGACTTGTAAACACACGAGGTTCCTAATTATGAAGTAAAGATACACATTTGTATCTAATTAGGACTTAGATTGATTGTTGGATAGGGACAATTGCTTCAAGTCACGATAACACTCCGATACAAGTGTTTGGAGGGACCCGGGTGGCGTTTAAGGACGGGAATTGAAGCGAGGGACTTGGGACTTGAGTTTATTCCCCATGAATAAACTTATACAAGAGTTTTTGGTCCAAAACACCCATTCCCCATGATTTTACGGCCGTAAACTCATGGTAGGGTGGTTTAAGGTGCAAATTTGGGTCATAAATGGATATGGACACTTGGAAATGCTTGGATAAATTTTACTTAAGGCTTGGATTGAATTAAAAACATCATTTACAATACATAAGGGAGTTTACGGCCTAGGCATGGGGTCTTTGGCCGTAAACTCTCAAATCCTCTTGATTTAGTGTTTTTAAGGTGTTAAAATCAATCACATGTGATTCTAAAAATTCCTACAAGCCTAGAAATGAGTTTAGGGCACCATTTGACACCCTTTTATGAGTTTACGGCCATGAGACATGTTCTATGGCCGTAAACTCTCAAATGTGGGGTTTTGATGTTTGTAAAGCCTTAAAACTATTTTTGGTTGGTCCTTTGATTTATTCCAAGGCTTTTGGTGGTGTTGGATGGCTTTCAAACACCCTAGAAATGGATTTGCACCATGTTTCATGGAGTTTACGGCCCAAGCACAAGCCTTGGCCATAAACTCATGTAAGTCCCCCAAAAATGATGTTTCAAGTGTCCAAATGCAATTATCAATGTTCTATAATTCATAACTAAGACATATAAGTGGTTTGGAAGGGTTTAAGGGCATGAAAACCCTAGTTATATGAGTTTACGGCCCAAGCACATGCCTTGGCCATAAAATCCTTCAAATGCCTCAAAATCCATGTTTTAAATGTTATATGTCCATTCCATTAAGCCATTAAGCCATATCTAACGTCCAATAGTGCTTAGGAGGGGTTTTAGGGCTCAAAAACCCACTTATTGTGAGTTTACAGCCCATGAATGCTCCATGGCCGTAAACTCATGAATGTGGTCACAAATCATGTTTTGAATTCGAATTTGAAGGCTAAGAAGGTTACAATACAAGCTAAGGAATGTACCTTAGAGATTTGAGGCCTAAATTTTGAGTTTTGGACCCTTAAACTTGGATTTAGGAGAGAGGTTAGAGAGAGAGTAAAGAAAGAAGGAAAAAGCTTCAAATGGGTGCTAAAACACGTTTATATAGGTCTTAAAACTTGTACGCGGTGGAATTCTACCTGATACCGACGTTAAACGCGGCTTTTGGTCGCACCCGATTAAGTTGTCGTCACCCAGCGGGGATGTTTCTAAAACTTATGAAATAAATGTTTTGGGCTAATTACATGAGTTCCTGAGTGATTTAGACACTCATTAAATTAAAATAAACATATAAGTTCAAGTAATTATCCCAAAGAGAAAACGGAACGAAATTGATAACGGCGACTTTTCGGATAGAACGGGTTTTGGCGAAGAACAATTTCGGGTTGTTACAGCAGATCAGTTCAAGAAGCTTCTAGGCGTGGTTGGTCCTGATGTAGTATCTGATGTTGATGACATTCAGAATCCTACAGATATTCGTAACAAAGGCTGCGGTAGTCGTGAGAAAAGATTAAAATCTACAAAAGAGATGATTAAGAAAGAAAGCTCGAAACCTAAGAGAAAATGTGCTACATGTGAACAGATGGTTCATCATGACAAAAGAAATTATCCTCAAAAGAACACCCAGAAATAAGTTCCTTGTTTGTTTTTTTATTGCTTTTAGTAGGATGACATTTCATTTTAATTTTGTTGATTCACATTCAATGTTATCTTTTATGTCGTTTAATAAAGTATTCACTTTGATTGCTAGTGACGTTGATGTTGTCAATCAATATAACAATATCTATCTTTTCTTATAACTTGAAAATAATCATAAAACGTAATATAAAAAATCAATCCATCAATTGTATAAATTCATTACGTTCCCTAATTACAGCAAGATATATAACTTTTTTCAATCATTTTAAGATTGATTTTAACCTTAACAAAAATGTTTTATTGTTTAGTATCGTATACAAACAATGTCTACAATTTATATACAAGAATTCATTATATCATATTCTCTTTCAAAAAGACTATATATTACGTAAGCTTATTCATTCAAACAGAATTTTATATATAAACATACACTTTTCATCTGCAGCCAATTTACATACAAGTATTCTTTATAATATTTTTTTTTATCTTTTACGAATTATACATTGATGCACACATATTTAATTTTGAAAAGGGTACATGAAACCAAAAATATACGTTTCTCATCTACATCCAATTAACAGATAATAAAAACGATAACATATTCTAATAGAATAATAACAATATAAAACTATTATATATGCATCAAAAAAATATAAAAAACAGCCAAACAGGGTACAGTATACTAAAAATGATTCCATATTTACTAAAGATAACCATTCCAAAAGAATTTTAGATTGTAGATTTTTATGTGTTATACATGTAAACACACATACTTAATTCCAAAAAGGGTACAATATACCGAAGATCCAATCATCATCTACACCTAAGTAATATAAAATAAAAAAACTATAACCTATTCTACCAGAATCATAACAATTACTATATTGTATCATCATCATAAAAACTATAAAAAACAGTCTAGTCACAGAACATTATTAACCACAATCTTGAATTACATTAACAACATTACTACAAAAAAATACATCAACACATACAATATTAACAACCACCTTGAAGTATATTTTAAAAAACTTCATAACTTCTGATAGAAAAACACAACCTTTATATGGAAATTAATATTCCATTATATGAACAATTCACAACATCATCATCGCAAAATTTAAACGATGAATCAACACAACCTTTATACGAAAATTAATATTCCATTATAAGAGATAAGCTTAAATATTGTTAACATTACTTCATAACTTCTGATAGACAAACTACTTAAATACTGTCATTATCATCATATTCTGCAACATTATCAACATCTTCTCCTATATTTCTTCCTACCACATTATCACCACTAATTCCTGACATTAGCTTTTTCCTTCTATACACCTGTAACTCAGTTTCATCCAACAACTTAATCATTGCCTCATTCACCACTGGAAGTCGATGAAACTGAGTCATTGTTAAAGAATTCATATCGACAGGTGTAGTATATTGGACTTCTTTTTCTATATTAACTTCAGTAAGTATCAATCCTCCAACACGTGAACTATTTCCTTCACTGCCATCACCTATATCATTCTTATTCAACTCATTAAAGCACTCAGGCTCATGCATTTTTTTGTTACTTGCCCCTTCATGCACTTCCTTGAAAAGCTCATTCATTTTATCGATCCACTCATTCAACACCACATTATGAGGGATTTTTTCCAAACCATCCTTCAACGCAACCTCCATCGTACTTTTTTTTTGTTAGTATTACCATGTAACTATGCTTTATAACAACAACGTATGCCTGCAATACATATAATTAATTTTTAATAACATTACAAGAATATGTACTTTATATTCTACAAGAATATACAATTAAATATTAATTTCAGAATATGTAATTTATATTCTACCATAACATTACCTCCTCATCTCCAAAATCCATCTTAAATCTTAGCATTTGTTGTTCTTCACCCCCTGTTTAATCCGCCATATCAACATCATCATGGTCATCCCGAAATTGCCTCCCAAACCCTCCCAAACCGATTTCCAATCGTTGGATCTCTAATAATTTAGCACCATTAATATACCCAATAAAAGGAAGCCTTTTGTCTAACTTGATAGAATACTTCATGTTATACATGTACACCAACTGTAAAAAAAACATTAACTTAATCAATATATCAATAATAAATTGATACCAAATATATATTTTCATATGAAACTATTTCAAACTTACATTCAGGAGTGTAATACGCCCACTGTAGTAGCTTGATTTGTCATTGTTGGGTCAAAATATGGTTTATACTTTACTTTTCTGAGCAATTATATTTTCTGTAATATTTTATGAGTTTACGGTCAGGTTTACGGTCAGGAAGGTGTTTACAGCCGTAAACAGGTTTACGACCGTAAACCCTATTTACGGCCCGGCCGTAAACCCATTTACGGCCCATGTTTCTCTTGTATATATATAGGTGTTAGGGGTGAGGAGTAGTGATTGATGAACGTGAAAGGAGTGTGTACGGCCAAGAGAGAAACTAAAGAGAAGTTTTTGTGTGTGTGAATCTTTTGTATCCGGATCTTCATTTTAATCAATTCATACATAGATTCATATTATTCTCCTTCTCCTTCTCTTCTATTTGATCTGACATCATCCGTTTGATTAGGATTCCGCACCATCAAACGGATTTGATTGATACACAGGCAAATTAGGGACTTACAATTGGTATCAGAGCTTGGTTGTATCAGTCAATTTTGTTAGATTTGGGGCATTATTTTATCTTATTTTCAAAATATTTTTGCGTTTTTGGATAGATCTCTAAAAATTAAGGGGGGTTTGTTCTTCGTATTTTTCACAAAAAAAAGGGTTTTTAATCGAGTTTTAGAGCTTTAAAGTTGAAAAATTGGTGTTTTTGGTCGAAATCTGCGAGGGTGTGGCGGAGTTTGCGGCGGCGGCTAGGGTTTCGGAGTTCACGGCCCGAGGTTGATGGTCCGAGATTGCGGCCTGCACCTCGTCCTCGCAATGGATCCGAAGTTCGCAGCAGCATCTTCCTTCGCATATTAAAAAATGTGGAAAGGACTTGGGGGCGCAGAGGATCGAACACGCGACATCTGATAGCTCACTTCAACGCCTTACCAACCCAACTAGCTAGCAACTTGTTTAAGTCCTTCGAGAATTAATTCAAAACGCTTCGCTACTGCAACCAAGTTTCACATTTTTACACTTTTAACCTCAAAACTCAATTTCTTTTGATTTTTAAATTCTTTTTTCATCCAAAATAAATAATAATAATAATAATAATATAAATAAATAAATAAAAATTATTAAAAATAAAAAAAATTAATAAATAAATTATATTTTGATTTTTGACTTGTATTTTTTAACTTTTGACCTTAAATTTTGACTTTGACTTCAAAGTTTAACCTTTAACTTTAAACTTTGACTTTTTCGTTTAACTTTTAAATTTTCAAATTTAACCTTTCGGTTTGACTTTTAAGTTTGATTTTTCAAATTTGACTTTTAAGGTTGACTTTTGAGGTTTATAGTCAAATGACATTAAAAAAAATAGTTTGACGTTTAAGTTTTATTTTGCTTTTGAGGACAACAAGGGAAATAAAGACATGAAAGAGAGTCGTCAGGATATGTTAAAACAAAATTTCAACATTTTCGATTATATCCCTGGAGAAACCCTGGATACTCAGTTGCAACAATTTACCACACTCACTACTGAGATGAATATAGCTGGGATCTTTTTGTCCAAATGTGAGATAAATAAAAAACTATTAAATTCACTTCCGAAATCGTGGGATATTAACGTAGATGTCATCAAGAAGACAAAAGATCTCAATCGTCTTAGTATTGCTGATGTAATTGAAGAGCTTGATGCTTTGAAATATGGAGAAACAATGAGTTCTGCAAACCTTCTGGTCAATGAAGTTTCATATTCTCAATCATGTGAAGTTTCATGTACACTATCTAGTGAAGATACGATTAAATTTCTTCGGGGACAAATTGATTTATTAAAAAGAGAAGTTGAGGACCTGAGATATGAAGGATATCAACTTAGGAAAAGACAGAAACCTTTGAAGGCTGAATTAGAAGCAAAAACCAAGGACTTTAGGAAACTTTAGGAAGAGTATAGCAACAAGTGTGAAAATTATGACTATATTAAGAGACAAGTTGCTGTTGTAACTGAATAACTTGACGCTTTGAAAATTAAGTGTGGAAAAACAGATGTTAGTTTCAAAAATTATACTACGTCAAGTAAGACAGTCGAGTCCTTATTTGAGACCCAATTAAAATTCATAGATAATCAAAACAAGGGTCTAGGGTATGATAGTGTTCCTCCACCTTTAATCATAACTACACATCCATCCCTACAACACAGGAAGAAATTGACACGGAGGCACATCTTCATTATGGCAAACCATTTGGATTTGTGTTGGGAGGTATTCAGGTTGAAGATTCTAATGTTTCTACTTCATTTGCAGGTAAAGTAGCAGAAGATGAGAACAAGGAGAACACTACTGAACAAACCAATGACTCCTTGAACTCAGAATCTATTGCTTCGAATTCTGTTACTCCTAACAAACCTACCGTTGAGAAATACAGGCCTCCAATTCCAGCTCAATCGAGTGCCTATTGCAAGTGTGCATCTGGGAACAATAAGAGACAAGGCAAGGATACGCCACCAGGGGTAGGAAGAAACAACTTCATAGTGAAGAAAAGGCATGTTTTCACTGTGGAACACCTGGACACATTGCAAGAAATTGTCCTAATCGTGCATACATTCCCTACTATGCTTAAGGCCGGCAGAACGCGCCAAGAGGGAGATAATTTAAAAGAAACCCCTCAAGGTCACGTTCAGACAATGCCAACTGGAATGCCATGAAGGCCAAAAAGTCAACTCCCAAGGCCAAGCATCCAACTCCCAATAACAAGAAGGGGATGTTGGCCCAGAAGTCTAGTTCAAGAGATGCTTCTGTGAAGCTAAGACCGGTTAGGTCAAAGTCATCTAGGCAGACGGCTTCAAGTTCCAAATCAAGTGCCGAGGCACCCATCGGATCGAACAAGAAATGGGTTAAACCCGAATATAGATGGGTACCAAAGGTGAAAACTTTCAAATCTTCTAATGAGTCTAATATTTCATCGTCTTCTGTTTGTGATAAGCAGGATATGTCATGGGAGAGAGAATCGTGCGTTGATGACAAAGGTTAACCCAGTTTCAAAATGGACTGGGTTCCAAAGACCAACTGATCCCGCTCTGTGTCGGAGCAGCTATGGAGGCATATCATCAGACTTCGGTTTGTTGGTAGTGGTTGTTCCAGGAACTTGATAGGGGACATCTCTCAATTGTACAACACTCAGAACATTATTTGAGAGTATGTGTCCTTTTCGGGAAGGGAAGAAAGGAAGGGATCACTCATGGGGTTAGTACTTAACGATGTGAAGAATTTTTGGATCTGTTCTAAGATTACGCGTGCTGTTCAATCGGTGACTTACGGTTTGAATTTTCTTCTCTATACTCCTGAGTTTTTCTTAAGCTGATTCGCTTTAAAGACTAATTTTTGTTTTAGGATAGTTTAAATTTTCACATTTACTTTCGTTTCTCTCCTATGCACAAATTTAGGGGGAGAGATAATAAAAAAACAATGAAAATTTAAAAAAAACACAAAAACATTAAAAATCTAGAAAATTAAAAAAAATGGCTGATAGTTTTGTTTGTAGGAGTTGTGATGGGAAATGAAATTACCAAGTGATAACGGACAATCTGATTCCACGTAACATGCCTAAGTTGAATTGTCAACGCTCTGTGCTCGATGCGATGGTAGGCACGAAGGATTTTAAATGGACTTGACTAGGGAGAGTTAAACTTAATGAATTCAAGGACTTGACAAACTTTGACCTAATTAGATCCGTTTAGCCTGACTTCACAACGCTCGGATAGGTTGAGCAGGGAGATATACATGGGAATCTACCGGTCACATTAAATAACCCATATCTAGAACTGTGGATTCACTTTTCCTCGATGTACGCATTCTGTCCTTAATTCCGGTTGGATGAGGCGATTGGTAAATTCTGATGAGTTAGGTATGTAGAAAATTGTTTTCTTTCTTTTTGTTTGTCAGTCATATGTTGCCTCCTTTGCGTAATCGGGAGATTCGACCTAGATTGTAACATATACAACTCTATTTCTTTGCAAATTATATCTATGAAATTCTTCTTATCTGTTAGCCATATGCTGTCTCCTTTGCATGACTAACAATTTGACCTGGTACACAACATATGCAACCTTCTACTTCACAATCCCTCTAAAACTACAAGTAATAACAATCTGAATCTATCCTCTCTCCTAATGATTGTCTGCTCACCCGATGTAAGGAGTACTCTGGAAGTCCTTGATGGCTGAGGCATATCAGGAAGCGGGAAACACGTTCTAGTACAATTAAAACTGAACATATACAGGTTGTTTGTAGATTTCGCTGCTCAATTTAGGTGGACAACAATATCCCTGGTCGTAGTCAGTTAGATGGTCATAAGAAAATCTTATTTAAGAATTAGGGCCAATCATGATAATGAAGAATTATAATCATCTATATAAGTATTTGTCATGTCATTGGTAAATTGTCCTAAGATTGTCACAAATTTTACGTGTTTAAGTGGACCACAATACTGGTGATCGATCAGACGAAGATGTGAAGATAAGGGTACCGACAAGTGGAATTAGGCTGTCCAACAACTTTGAATTCAAATCACTCTTAAAGTTAGCTATTATTTTTGTTTTTGTTAAGTTTGTTCATAGTGTTCTTCTAATTTAAATATAAGGGGCAGAACTAAAAAAAAAAAAAATAAAAAAAAAAAAAAATAAATAAATCTGAAAATTCAAAATCAAAAATAGTGTTATTTCTGTTTTATTTCTTTTTTAGAAAATTTTAAAATCCAAAAATATTTTTTTTTGTTTTAATTTGTGTGCTATGTTTTCTTTTAGTTTTGTTTTGTCTTGAAAAGTGATTTCAGGTATAGATAAGACTCATGGAGTTCGTGTTGAAGGTTTCTGAACCAATGCTTCATCCGTGAGCATCGAAGAATTCTCATTCGAAGGAGCAAGAAATGAAGATTATTCTTCCAACATTCAATCCTTCAACCTCAGAGGCAAGGAGAAGTTGAAATTAAAGATTATGTGATGGATTGCATTGAACCCTCCTCAATCAGTCTGCTGCTATCTTAAACCTGCTGAAGTGATCTATAAGATTTGTTCTCTTTGATGTTCTCTCTAAAGATTCTCAAGCTGAAAGCGTTATCTTTCAAGAATCAATACAAGAAGCCTCTTCACCCAATGTGCGTTCAATGTCAAATCTTGAAGAAAAGCTCAAGTGCTCAAGATGAAGTCATTCATTGAAGATTCATATGTTCATCCTGATGTTGTGAAGAAATCGAAAGTTAAAGTTGAAGCCAAGCTCCCATTGAAGATTGACAAGAAGAGCCAGCTACTTTTTAGGGGAGCTTGTTGGGTCATTCAAGAAAAGAAAGCTATAAACCAAGGGGGAGATTGTTGGGTTAAAATATGGTTTATACTTTGCTTTTCTGGGCAATTATATTTTCTGTAATATTTTATGAGTTTACGGTCAGGTTTACGGACAGGGAGGTGTTTACGGCCGTAAACCCTATTTACGGCCCATGTTTCTCTTGTATATATATAGGTGTTAGGGGTGAGGAGTAGTGATTTATGAACGTGAAAGGAGTGTACGGCCAAGAGAGAAACTAGAGAGAAGTTTTTGTGTGTGTGAATCTTTTGTATCCGGATCTTCATTCTAATCAATTCATACATAGATTCATATTATTCTCCTTCTCCTTCTCTTCTATTTGATCTGAAATCATCCGTTTGATTGGGATTCCGCACCATCAAATGGATCTGATTGATACACAGGCAAATTAGGGACTTACAGTCATCCCTTTTCCATAGTTTTTTTCTAGATCCCAAACAATCAAGCATATATTTACACCAATTTAACTTTGAAAAGTCTTCTACCAACACCAACTTCCTTACCACTTTTATTTGATTTGTTCCCGTCAACATTGACTCTATGAAGTTGTTAACAAAAAGTGTCAAAAAATTCAGCCTAAACATCAAACTATCCTTTGTTGTAGTTTGAATCCTTCTTAAATACTCCTCACCATTGAACTTATCACATATATATATATATATATATATATATATATATTTCCCCCTCCATTATTCCAGAATTTCATTTCCCTTATCACACAATGGTAACTCATTGATGTCTTCTCCACCAATTGGCAACCCCATCATATCATGCACGGTTTGTTCTGTTATCTCGATAAAAGAGTTCTGTAGGACAAGTCTTTTACTATCTGCATCATACACATCTAAAAGAGAGTAGCTTAGTTGTCCTGGATAACTTGTAATATTCACTTGAGAATTGATCCAAAACCCATTCTCAAGATTGCTTGTTTTTATTACGGCGACATTCCCATAACAGTTGCAGTGTTGTTATCACATTTCATTCTAGTTGGAAGGTATCTTAAACCAGGTGGGTATTCCTTATTTGTTTTTATAACATTATCTTCTTGTTCCTCTTTGACAGATTCAGCAATTCCCTTATTCTTTAAATGTTTTACAATTGGAACTCTATCAAATTGCCTTTTCGACCTTATCTCTCTTTCCAAAAGTATTGCATCTAAAGGTTTAGGACTTGTTTTTCGTTCAACTGATTTATCAAGTTTTTTATTTGACCTTCTTTCTCGGTTCACATGTTCTTCTTACTGAATTTGTTCTGATACAACGCACAATAGATAGTATAATGTTTAGTATTAGATATTTGGTATTAATGTTTTAAAACATATCCATCATACACAGAAAATTTCCATTCAAACAGAATAAAAAGTAAATTTTATTCTAACAGAATATAAAAATACACTACAAAAACATCATAAATTTTATTCTGAAACATACCCCACTCCATATTGAAACACTCATTTTCATACATATTACAGTATTCTACTAAAATATTCTACAAGAATCAAATACTTTTAATTTAGAATTCTAACATAATCACATAATCGATATTCACCCTCATATACAACATTACATTCTTTTAGAATATTACGCATATAAGCTTTTCCAATATATAAGATTTCTTATTGTTTCAGTTTAAGTAATTACTCATCTATAAACTTTGATTCCATTAGAATTTAACATCTTCATATCATGTTAATTAACTACTTAGATGGAGAAACCTTCATTACAAATTTACCTAATAAAGCAAGTACACTAATTCTACAAGAATCAAATACATTTAATTTAGAATTCTACCAGATTCATTTGATCTGGTAGACACACTCATATACAATATTACATTCTACTAGAATATTACACATGTAAACTTATTCCATATACAAGAATTATGATTTTTTCAGTTTAATTCATTAATCATCTACAAACTTTGATTCCATTAGAATTCAAAATCTTCATAACATGCTAATTAACTATTTGTATAGAGAAATTTAGTTTATAATTTTAACTAAAAAATCATTTAGACTAATTCTAGCAGAATAACAACCATGTTCAACTTCATATAAATAGAACAATCTGGCAGAATAACATACACCATATTTTCATTGTATCATACTATTCAAAATTCAACGCTTACTTTACTTAGCGGTAACGATTCTTAAGAAAATACCAAAAAATGATACATTCTTATTCCAGTCCACAAATCATACATGCATAACTGATTTCAAATACACCTCTTAAACTATGCTACATTTTTCGAACTAAAAAACCATTAAATACCACAAAAAAAAATGTTACCTTCAGGTTCAACAACAGAATCATCGTTGTTATCTTCAAGATTCAAGGCCATTTCTGCTGTGTTCCTGAACTTTGAATTGAATGAACTTGATCGTGTACTCCTCAT